AAATTTTCATTTGTCCGATAAGTCCTTAGCAAATATTTCGAAAATTTGACTCGTGATTGACTGAAATGCCTAACCACCGCTCAGATTACCGAAAATAACGTTCCCTTACCTCGTGAAGTAGCGTGTTACAATGATGAGTGCAGTGAGGGTGACACTGAAGGTGTAGGCTGACTTGAGACAGAGGTAGATAACTAATACAAAGACCCGTCGCCAGTAGGTTAAAGGTGTGACCTTGTCAGGAGGTCGAAAGGTGAAGATCGCCGCCGAGGTCGTGGCATTGGGGTCAGAGGTTTGCGCGGGTGTACAACCAATCCAATAGTGCGAAGGATCTTCATGAAAATCAGTATTGGAGATCGTTGGTGGTTTGGAAGCAAGTCAGAAGAGGAACACACACGTACAGTCATTTGAAAATCGCAAAAAACGCCTATCCAGTATCCATTAACGCAAAAATCAACGATGGAAATGATAAAAAACAAGGGTCTGAGAACACACCCGGTTGAGTAATGTGCCCCAAAACATGGATGACAAAGAGGAGGAGAAGGAAAAGAATCAGCACATAGACGACCTCGGCGGGGGGTCCGATAGGTAGCACTCTATTCACTGTGTACGTCATCGCCGTTGACGCTGAAGTAGTTGGAATTCCTCGCTTAACTAGTCGATTTATCGGTGTTGCAATGTTCGCCTCACGAATTTGTCGAGCGGCCAAACTTGGTACAAGAGCCGCGAGAGAAGAGAGCCCACCTACAGAGCAACACTTAGTCCTTTAAACAAACAGGCTCGAAACCTATATTCACATCTTGTCCTAACATTTTCTACAGGTTCTTCAACAGACACTGTTCTGTTCTTGTATAACCCGTTCCAGAAGCGATATTCGCATAATCGGTAGGACAGACGTTTGGTGCGATCCGCATCTACCAGTCCATGAGAAGGAGACGTAAGAGAGCGTTTCAGCAAAGGTGCGGATTAGCTATCTCTTTCTCAAAACTTTGATCATTGGATCAAACGCCAAGACTGTCACATTGATCGACAATTTGAGCACCCATCAAAGTCGAAATGGTGGCAGTAGATGTACGGCATAGGAACGAAGTCATCGTACTCTAACACGATTATAACCAGCCTTCCCATTCTTACCATTAGTCATTATGCAACCACATTATTGAACAAAAAATGCAAAAAGAGTGTATGTCTTGCCTGCTGGGAACTATGCGAATTAGTAAAGTCATTAGAATGAATGTTTTCCTTACTATTTGACGAGACGGTGTACATCCGCCTCTGTTGCATCTCAGCAGGCGGTTGAACTGCGCGACGTACACGAATATCAAGTCGATTCTTGGCATCCAAAATGATCAATCGGAAAGACTTCTCGTAGTCTGGTTCTTCACTGGGAGCGGGAATCAGAATGCGCAGCTGGAAGACGAACGAAAAGATGGAGTAACATGTGAAAAACGCACATAAAAAGAGATGGTCATTTTACCATCTGGAAATTGGTGTAGAAGTAACGATACATTTGGATACAGTATGCAAGAGGAATGAAGAGTGAATAGCAGTTTCTGAGACATCATTATGTGTATGCGCACTCATTGATTCTTTATGCCTCCCAACTTTCCCCTATCGTAGCCTTCATTACTATCCAAAACAGGCCTATCAAGCACAAAGCATTGTAGCATGAGTTGCTTGTTATCAG